GTCCTTTGTAGGGACATGGATGAACCTGGAAACCATCATTCTCAGCAAACTGACAGAAGAGCAGAAGATCAAACACCGCATGTTCTCACTCATAGATGGGTGTTGAACAATGAGAACACAGGGACACAGGGAGGGGAGCACTACACACTGGGGTCAGTTGAGGGAAAATAGGGGAGGGACATTGGGGTGGCTAGTTGGAGAGAGATAGGAAGGGGAGAGATGCCAGATGTAGGTGATGGGGAGGAAGGCAGCAAATCACTCTGCCACATGTGTATCTATGCAACAATCCTGCATGTTCTTCACATGTACCCCAAAACCTAAAATGCAATAAAATAAATAAATTGGGAAAAAAATAAATTAAACTTTAATTACATTTAACAAATTTAATGTGCCATATTTTCATTATCATTAGTTCAAATGTTTTCTAATTTCCATTGTAATTTTTTCATTAATCTATAGGATATTTACAAGTATATTTTAAATTTCCAGGTAGGTGGGATTTTTACTTATCTGTTAGTTATTAATTCTAGCTTACTTGAACTGTGGTTAGAAAACCTTTTTTTATATATAATATTAAACTTAGAAATGTGTAAGACAGAAAACTTTTTATGTGCAATATTAAATTTAGGAATGTGTAAGACTTATGGCTTTTGATTTTGTAAATATCTGTTTATACTTGAAAAGAATGTGTTTTCTGAAGTTGTGAGGTTGTCCTTTGTGTGTCAATTAAATCAAATTATTTGTTGTGCTGTTCAGATCTTCAGTATCTAGTAAGATATTGCTAAGATTCTGCTAAAATGGTGGATTTGTGTATTTTCCCTTTTAGTTCTGTCATTTTTTGCCTTATATATTTTGGTGCTATGTTATTAAGGGTATATTAATTATATTTGTTATCTATGTCTACGGAGTAAAACTTTTATCTTACACCCTTTTCGATAAATGGTATGTGGAAAATTGATTGCCACAGACAAGAATGAAGCTGGATGCCTATTTCTCACAATACACAAAAGTGATTCAAGATTAGACTTAGCTGTAAGACTTGAAACTATAAAAATACTAGAAGAAAATCTAGGGAAAACTCTTCTGGACGTTGGCCTAGTCAAAAAATGTCTAAGACTTCAAAAGTACAGTAAACAAAAATAGACAAATGGGACTTAATTAAACTAAAATGTCACTGCAGAGCAAAGAAAATAAGCAAGAGTGAACAGACAACCTGAAAAATGGGAGAAAATATCTGCAAACTATTCATCCAAAAAATGACAAATATCTAGAATTTATAAGGCACTCAAACAACGCAACAGCAACAACAACTACCACCAACAAACAAATAATCCCACTAAAAAATGGGCAAAGGATATGAGCACCCATTTTTGAAAAGAAGACATACAAATGGCCAACAGGTATATGGAAAAATGGTCAACACCACTGATCATCAAAGAAATGCAAATTAAAACCACAATGAGATATCTTACACCACTGTTAATAATCTCTATTATTAGAAACACAAAAAATAGCAGATATTGCTGAGGATATGGAGAAAATGAAACACTATTGGTGGGAATATAAACTAGTACAACCTCTGTGGCAAATGGTATGGAGATTTCTCAAAGAATCAAAAATAGAACTACCATTTTATCTACTACTGTGTATCTATCCAAAGGAAAATGAATTAATACATCAAAAACACTACTGCACTCATGTATTTATCACAGCACTATTCACAAGAGCAAATATATGGAATCAAGCTAAGTGTGCATCAGTGGATGATTGGATAATAAAATGTGGCATATACATACAATAAAATATTATTCAGCCACGAAAAGAATGAAATCATGTCTTTGTGGCAACATGGATGGAATTAGAGGTCATTATCTTAAGTCAAACAAGCCAGACACTGAAAGACAAATCTTGCATGTTCTCACTCATAAGTGGATGCTAAAACTGCGTACACATGAACATTGAGAGTGGAATGATAGACAATGGAGACTCAGAAGACCAAAGGAGTGACAGAGAGGTGTAGGATGAGAAATTACTTAATGGGTACAAAGTACGTTATTTGAGTGATGGATGCCCTAAAAGCTCTGACTTGACCATTATGTAATCTCTGCATGCAATGCACTTGTACTTCATAAATTTATATTAATTAAAAAAGTAAAATACTCCTCTTTACCTCTAGCAATAATTTCCCTCTTAAAACCTATTTTGACTACGTAGCAGATCTGAATATTCTGCTCATATTTCCCTGTCATTTGCCATTGCTGTGCACACAGATGGTTTTCTACTGCCATCACCAATACTCCATTTGAGAGCTTTCTCTGATAAGCATGGCTCATGTGCAGCGAAGGGAGGCTAAATGTTCTGGGAAGTTGAAACACCAGTAGCAGTCCTCATCTAGTGACAAATGGAAACTGGAAGATAAATAACTCAGCTTCATCATCTATTGGGTGGGACAACTCTGAGGGATATTCTGTATTGTCTCTAAGAGGTCCTCAGCAGGACTGACGCCCAGGTGTCCTTTGTGGTAACCTGTTCACTAATACCCAGCATTGGCTTCTTTCTCTTCCTTTTATCACCCTTTTGCCTTCCCAGTTCTCCTATTAGAGTTTCTTGGGATCACTTTCCAAATTAACTATGTGCTATTGTTTGAATATTTGTCACCTCCAAAACTCATGCCCAATTTAATCCCCAATGTAGGCATATTGAGTGGCATGGCCTTTAAGATGTGATTAGATCATGAGGACTCTACCCTCATGAATAGCTTAATTCATTCATGGATCAATTAATTAATGAATTAATGAGTTAGTCGATTGATGGGTTATCATGGGAGGGGAACTTGTGGTTTATAAGGAGAGAGAGACCTGAGCTAGCATGTTAGCATGCTCAGCCGTCTGTCCATGTGATGCCCTGCACTGCCTTGGGACTGTGTAGAAAGTCCTCACCAACAAGAAGGCTTTTACTGGCTATGTTCCCTAGACCTTGGGCTTCCCAGTCTCAAGAACTGCAAGAAATAAATTCCTTTCCTTGATAAATGATAAAGTTTCAAGCGTTTTGTTATAAGCAACAGAAAATGAATGAATACACAATGTGTTCTTAAATATTTGTCTGAGGTCTGTATCAGAGAGAACAATCACAAATAGCTTTATATGTTTTAGTGTTTGCATGACATATCTTTTTCTATCTTTTTATTTCCAACCTTTCTATATCCTTTTATTTTAGATATGTCTCTAGTAAGCAGTATATAGTATGTTTTATTTTCTTTATTTAATAATGCAATAATTTGTCTTTTAATTGAATCATTGACTTCATTTCTATTTGATGCAATTACTGAAAATCTTTTTCTATCACCCCTTTTGTTCTTTCTTAACTTTTGGTTTTATATTCATCTAATGTTTTCATTATTCAACTTCTCCCTTTGTCAGCTTGATTGTTGTACACCCTCTTACTATTTTAGTGATTAGAGAGATTGCCTTATCTATTCTCAATTTATCAAAGTCAACTTTCCTAGTTGAAGCTGTGACTCATTGTTCATAGCTGACATCCACGGTGGTGGGGGTTTCATTCCTATCAGCAGCTCATGTCGACTCTTTCTTAGCTTTCATTATTTTTTTATTTTTACTTGGGTATACCTGACCAACAGTCTGATGGGATCCTTAAAACCAAGAGGGAGTGGTCGTGAGAATGGTGAGGCTGGAGATAAGGGAGGTCATTGTGGAACCGAAGAAACAATTTTTGGTTTATGGGATCTTGGTGACATCACCTTTTTCTTTTTTCTTGACCTCTCTGAAACCTTCCTTCTGTCTCCCCCCTTCCTGCTCTGTCTCCTGCTCTTTTCTTCTCTAGCTCTATGGTAGTTTACCAGGGCTAACATAATGAAGTACCATAAACTTGGTGTCTTAAACATCAGAAATTTATTGTCTCATAGCTCCGGAGGCTAAAATTCTGAAATAAAGGTGGCGGGGTCGTATTTCCTCTGAAGATTCAAAGGCAGAATATTTCCCTGCCTCTTCCTATCTTCCTAGCTTCTTCTGGTGGTTGCCGGCAATCCTTGCCATATCTTGGCTTGTAGACATGTTATTCCAATCTCTGTCTCATCTTTATAGGGCATTCGTCCCTGTGCGTCTCCACGTCTTCACATGGTGTTCTCATTGTGTGCCTGTGTTCTCATTTTCCTCTTTTTTTTGAGACGGAGTTTTGCTCTGTTGCCCAAACTGGAGTGCAATGGCACGATTTCCAGTCACTGCAATCTCTGCCTCCAGGGTTCAAGCAATTCTCCTGCCTCATTTTCCTGAGTAGCTGAGATTATAGGCATGCACCATTATGCCTCGCTAATTTTGTATTTTTAGGGGAGACGGGGTTTCTCAATGTTGGTTAGGCTGGTCTCGAGCTCCTGACCTCAGATGATCGGCCTGCCTTGACCCCTCAGTGTGCTGGGATTACAGGCATGAGCCACCATGCCAGGCTTCATTTTCCTCTTCTTATAAGAATGCCAATTATTGGATTGGGGCCACCCTAACCCAGCTTGACCTCATCCTAACTTGATTACATCTTCAAGATCTTCTTACCAAATAAGGTCAGATTCTGAGGTTCCATGTGGACATTAAATTTGGGGGATGCTATTCAACCCGGTACAAGCTCACTTACTCTGTAGAGTGCAGTATAAGTAGCACTGTCTTAGAAATTAGACGTTCGGGGTACTAATCGTGCTTGTGTTACTAAGTATGTAACACAGACTTTGGAGTTCACAAGCAGGGGTCCAAATCTCACCTCTGACACTTAGCTACTTGGAGCCTCAGAATAGTAAAATCAAATTATTTTATTTTTGAGATTCAGCTTTTAAGCTGTAATCACTCCTTTGGACTATTTCTTTTTCCTACTCTGCCATACCCATTTAATCCCTTCCTTCTTTAACAAGTTGACCTCTTAATTCCAGTTTTCTTCCCCCTTAGGTTCCCCTCTTTATCCTTTTCTCCCCACTTTAAAAAATATTATTTATTTTAAATAATAGAGACAGGTCTCACCATGTTGCCCAGGCTAGTCTTGAACTCCTGGGCTCACACAGTCCCCCAGCCCTGGCCTTCTAAAGTGCTAGGATTACTGGCATGAGCCACCATGCCTGGCCTCTCCCCACTTTTATTCCTTATAAGTAGGGTGATATCCATCCTGGTTTGTCCAGGAATAGTCCCAGTTGATGCCCATTGTCACAGAGTAGTTATTGATGATGCCTCTTCTACTTTCAAAGTGTTCTAGTTTAATGATGAGTTAAATGATTGCCCTACTTAGAGTGTTCTCATCACCCTTAGACCTGCCTCTATCACTGCGTGATTCACAATGTACTAGGTTGCATTTTAATTGTTATTTGGGTTTGTCTCCTTGGTGGGATTAAGTGTAGTCACTGGGAATGATTTTCTTTATTTCTGCAGACTCCAGCATGTATACTTGGCATTGGGAGAATCTCAGCCATGCTCCTTGGACATGTAAAAGTTTTTGAAACCTCGATTCTTTCATTTTGTGCATAGCAGGTGCTCAATAAATCATCTTTAAATTGAAGTAGATAGCTATCTATAATGAAAATGAGAAATGAACCTGACAAAAACACTGTTTCTTCTCTCTGCCCTCCTTTATTTGTGGTCATTAGCTCAGAGATCTCATTTCACCTCCAGATTTGTGAGTTATTTCTTTCTCGTGCCTCACCCATAGCTCTTTTAATTCTTTGAAAACTGGAGTTAGTTATCCTTTGCAAGCCTCCAGTGAGTGCTGTGGTGACCTGATTTCTAGTTGCTGGGTGCTGGCTTTGGGTAAGCGTGCCTCCTGATTGAAATCTCCCGTCCGCCCCGAGCTCCTGAGGCTCTCCCTATCCTGTCATCTGTCTGAGAGGTAGTTTTTGTGCCCTCTTGCTTTTACCTTTGAGGCCACACCCGCTGTGGGTTACTTCATCCTGTGGCTATGTCTATACAAGTGAAATTAAGTGCATAGTAAAGTCAATGGCGGGTTTAATTCAGGCCACATATGCTTCATATTTCTTCCTGTTGCTG